TTAGGAAAGATTGATAGTAGTGATACAGTAAATCACATTTGTCACTCTAAAATTTATTGAATAGTTTCCCCACATCAACCTTGTGCAAAGGATAGGACAAGTATATGCCTCCATTTTATAGGAGGGATGGAGAGGAAGGGGAAGGGGTGCTTTCCAGACAGGAAGAACAGCTTGGCCTGCTGCACATTGGTGGGAGAAAGGAGGCTGGTCAGGGAGTGGCTAGGTAGTTCACGAAAGAGAATAATGCAGAATAAGGCCCAAAAGGTACATAGAAGCCAGGCTGAAGAGGTCTTTTAAATCTGGCATAAGGGTTCTTATTCAATCTTATGGGAAATAGGAGTCCACTGAATTCCTCGGAATAAGTCCAGCAAGGACTGACCAGTGTCTTCGTCTTTGCATTGGGAAGTTCATTTCCCCATGTAGAGGTGTGAAAGACTGAAGTCTGGAGAAACTACAAGTTTGGACAGTCAAGAAGCTATTATAATATTCTAAGTTAGAGATGATAAGGACTTGAACTAGTGTGGTGGCCTTGGAGAAGAGCAAGAAGAAGAGATGTTATGTAGAGAGTTGTTAGAAAGACAGATTGGGGTGAAGATGCTGAGGAACTTGGTTTCGGAGGTATTCAGTGGGAGACTCTCTTGGAGAATCTTTTTGAAGAAAACCCTTCTAGTGCTCGATCTAAGATCCTAATCATTCCTGAGATGATTATGTGGCTATGTGGCTTGTAAAGTGCCACTATAGTCCAAACTGCAGCTAGTTTATCTAAAGTTGAACTGGTTTGTCCAAAGCCATCTGGTATTAGTTAAAAATAGAAAGGTCAGTGCAACAAATTAGACAAGGGATAACAAGAAACAATGAACCCAACTACTCAGGGTTTGATAAAGTGGAAAACATAAATTACCAAGGAATGGGGTGGGGGAGATCTATTCTTAACCAAACAAGAGATGGAGGCAGTTACAAAAGTAAAATAGATAACTGCTTATCTGAAAACTGAAAAGCTTCTGCACAGACAAAATTAATGCATGTAGAATAAGAAGGGAAGTAGTTGAATGGGGGGGAAACGAACTTTGTATGAAATTTCTCTGATGATGGTTTGGTATCCATGGTATATAAACAATTATGTTGTGTGTACACAGACACACACACACACACACACACACACACACACACACACACAACGTTGCCTATGGAAAGATGAAGAAACCAGATATCTTTGGGCTCCTTTTTGTACAGCTTTCTGTTCCCTGTGACTAATAAGCATTCTAATAAATCCATACTTTACATATTCAGATTAACCCACACATTATAATAAATCCACAAATAAAAAAGATCCTAAAGAACGATAATATGGATTCAAGACACTTGTGTTCTTATTCAAGCTCAGCCACTTACCAATTGTATGACCTTGGGTAAGTCATTTAACACTTCTGGCTCTTAGTTTATTAATCTGTATCATAGGGATGTGATACTTGGCCCATGTTATCAGGCCGTTGTGAGGATCAAGTTAAATTATGAATGCAAAAGATTTTGTAAACTATAAAATATTCTTCAGTTCTAACACATTGTTATCATTTTTCAGTTTAGGAAACTGAAGGGGAAGGAAGAAAAAAGAATAAGCATTTATATAGCACCTGCTATGTGCTAGGCACTGTGCTAAGCACTTTATGAATACTATCCCATTTGTTCCTCACAACAATACTGTGAGGTAGATTATTCTCCCCATTTTATGGTCAAGGAAGCTGAGACAGGTTAAATGACTTGGCAATGGTCACAAAGTTAATAGGTGTCTGAGGCTGGATTTGAATCCAGGTCTTTCCGGACTCCAAGCCCAAGGCTCTAACCTCTGTACCCCACCTAGGTACCTCTAGGTCTAGATATAGTTTTATTTTCCTCAAGGCAACACAGGTAGTTCGTTTCAGAAGACTAGAACTTCCATTTCCAGATTCTCAGTCTCCTCTTTCCTTTAGACTTTTTTTTTGTATCGTGGACCCTTTTGGCAGTCAATCTGCTGAAGCCTGCAGATTCCGCAGAATCATGTTGCTAAATGCATAAAGTATAACACATAGGATTTCAAAGGAAACCAAAGATTAGTGAAAATAACTCTATCCATGGACCAAGGGGTGGGGAGGTGGGGGCTCTGTGTTAAAAAAAACAACCCTGATCTAGAAGATAATACAAAGTAATAGCAATACTGTTTGATGATCAGCTGTGAATGACTTAGCTCTTCTGAGCAATACAAAGATCCAAGACAGTTCTGAAGGACTCATGATGATAATGCCATCTACCTCCAGAGAAAGAATTGATGGAGTCTGGATGCAGATCAAAGCATACTTTTTTTTTAACTTTATTTATTTTTTGGGTGAGGTTTTGGGTTTTTTTTTCTTTTTTTTTTTTTTGGTTCGTTTTTTTGTTTGTGTTTTCTTTCACAGCATGACTAATATGGAAATAATGTTTTGCATGCACATGTATAACCTATATCAAATTGCTTACCGCCTCAGGGGCAGGGGAGAAGAGGGAGCGAGGGAGAGGATTTGGAACTCAAAATTTAAAAAAAATGTAAAAATTTGTTTTTACACGTAATTGGAAAAAATGAAATATTTTTTAAAACAGAATGTATGATCTAGACCATAATGACCACTCCCATGTCATAAAAGAGTGCAAATATTTTGTGAAAAACAGGAGTTACTTGTTGTAGTTGATAGATTCTTGAGGATGAAGGACCTGAAGCGTGGGGTGAGAAATAGGAGTTGAGGGAGAGAGATGAGTCATGATCAAGTAAGCTGGAGCATTGCCTGGTAACTCACTTTTTTTTTTTTTTTTTTGGTGAGGTAATTGGGGTTAAGTGACTTGCCCAGGGTCACACAGCTAGTGAGTGTTATGTGTCTGAGGCCAGATTTGAACTCAGGTCCTCCTGACTCCGGGGCTGGTGCTCTATACAGTGTGCCACCTAGCTGCCCCGTAACTCACTTTTCAGTGAGGATTACCATGTCAAGTTCATCAAGCATTTTCCTGGATGGGCAGATTATTGTCAGAGAAGATCAATAATGTGTTCCTTTCAAATCCTTTGGAAATCTAGTTCCTTTCTAGGGACTTTTGTGAGTCAGGTTTGTTGTTTATATAGAACATAAATATTTAATCTGTATTTCATAGCTATAGTTATAGCTATTTTTTGTAGTCATAGCTATAGTTATTTTTGTATGTGTTTTTTTCTTTGGTCCACTTGAGTGTTACAGTTCTTCTTTGTTACTTGCATACCTTTATTAAGCCCTGTATGCATTGCTTAGAAAGTGCATAGGGAAATGTGGCATTCTCTGAAGTAAACAGAACCAAATCACTTAGAGCTTAATGATTTGAAGATCAGCACTTGAGTCATAACTAAGAGCAGATAGGTTTTCAGTCCAGGTGTAAGAGCTTCAAGAAGCTTTTCACTTCTTACCCTTTGGGGGCACTGTGCTGTTGCTTCTGAGTCCCTTAGTAGTTCGAAAATCCCACATTTATTGATGTGGTTATGCACCCATGAAATGCCAGTTGAAACAAAAAAGTAATGCCATGAAACAGTAGTGAAAAATGAATTTGGAAGAGCTACGTATTCTAGGAGTGACGCTGAGGTTCTTTTCCCTATGATGTTGGTATTGGCTTGTTGTGAGTTTTTTGTACAGATAGATCATCTTCTGTTTACTTATTAAATGAATCCGTTCTTACCTAAGGGTATTGTGAGAATTAGCAGTGCTTTTTCATCAGCAGCATTGTTTAAGGCAGTACTATAATCTATTCAGCTTGCCTGGAATCATACCCTATCTTACAATGATTTCTCATTAATTCTTACCACTGAAGGAGACACTTGAAGTCGACTCCCAGCTACCTGCTCTGAGTCTAATGGTGTTTCTGCTAAACCATATCTAAAATAAAGATATTCTACTAGATGACCTCGCAGATATCTTCAGCTCACAAGAACCATTTAGAAAAATTTCTAAAATGCTATTAAAAGAACATTTAATGTTATTAATTCATAAATCTATTAATTCACAATGTGTGATAATTATTTTTGAATTATTTACATTTTATTGTGGAAGAAAAAGAAAGGTTCATTAATCTGTTGCCTCCAAATTCTTTTCATTCTGTCATACATTTACAGGTGTTTAAATTTGCAACAGTAGCCCCCACACTCTTAAAATTAGTGCAAGAGAAGGCTGTATAGATGAACAGGAAGAAGAGGAGGTCTTTGAAAATATAATTTTATTGGCAACATCGGGAAAACGAATTTTTTTAAAAATCTAGCAACAAACAGACACTCCACTAGTCCTGGGATCCAATTGTGGAGGTAAAATAAGGAAGAGAGAAGAGGAAGACCAGTGGTGTCCAAGTAAACAAGCAGAAGTGGCCTCAGCAAGGTCCATGGAGCCAAAGGAATAGGGAAGAGTTTTCCTGGGTGGTGGCAGTTGTGTGGGGAGATTGTGTGTAGTTTTTCTTTGTTAGACGAGACCTCTGATTTCCTCAGTGTATGATACTGCCACTGCAGATGACAGCCTACTCTCCAACTTGAGTCTTAGAGAGTTGTTGGTGGCATTGAGAGGTTAAGTGACCTGCCCACAGTCCTACAGACAGTATGAGGCAGAGGACTTGAACTCATGTTTTCCTGACTTCAGGACCAGCTCTTCTCTCTCTGCCATGGTACATTGCCTCCTTTCACTCTTCAAAGAAGGATACTTCTCTGCACAGTTTGATAGAAAGTTGTATATCAAACCACAAAAAGATGAAGTTTATTGCAAACTATAGCTCTAAAACAAACATGAAATACTTTTATCACTATGTGTGCCAAGATATTCTCTGTATGATAAAAAGTTGAGTCAGAGAGTTGGATTTAAAAAAATAATTATCAGGTTTTTGGGTGGTGTGGGGCCAAGGATTTTTAATTTATTTCTTTAATAGTGTTTTATGTACCCAGTTCTATCTATGTGTGCAGAACCTTGGGGATAAAAAGATGATTTTGTCCTTCTTAGGGTCGGTGGGAAAGTCAACAAGATGTTTCCCAATCAGAACATTCCAGAGGGATGACTCCAGCTCGTCCATCTCTTTCTCATGGTCCCCAGGACAACCATTCCCCTGAACCAGGTGAGTGCCATTTGTCCTTTCTCGATTACTGTGCTCAAGGATGGCTAGGATTATGGACTGTCTATCCAGGTAGTTAGATGGTACCAGTTAGTTTGTCCCTTTCTCACTCTCTCCCTCCTTGCCTTCCTTCCAGAAACCTTTATTTTTTTAAAATGTTTGCTCTGTGCAGAGCACTGAACTTGACATTGAAAGCAAAAGTATTAGCATCACATGATAACTTTATTTGGTGCAAAATAAAGTGCTATGTTAAAGACCCACAACAAGATCTGCATTTGCTCCATTCCTACAGCTAGAAAGTATATTGAAGCCAAATGTTTGACCCTACTTTTTTTTAAATCCCCAAGGACAAAAATTTCCCAAGGGACCATGGTAGTCTTTTTCAGTGTTCAGTTACCTCTATAGTCTAATTATTTATACTGCTTGAACTAGCTCTTACACAGTTTATGTTCATTTACTTTTGTCTATCATATATAGAGATGCAAAACAAATGGTACATTTTATTCTTTTATGAAAATCAGGCATAGTTGTATATTATTTATTTTGTAGGTTATCATCATATTTTAACATTAATTCAGAAATTTTAGTAGTCTTTTGTTTAAATTAATTCTCCTAGTGATGTAGGGATATACACACATATATTTTTATATAAAAGAAACACTTTTATAATGTTGATTTACAGTGAGGGACATGTTTTATGGCCCTCCCCTAAAGTTTCAGGAAAAATGAGAATCATAAAAGCATAGAAAGAGACTACCAGAGCATATATGTTTTATGCAATAGAGTAATTGAGGAAAACTTTTTAAAAGTTGGCTGCATTAAGATCAGAGACTGAATAACTGTCTTCCCATTGGTTGTTGTCTCCTATCATGAACTATCTGTGTAGTCTTGGCTGTGTCATTTAACGTCTAGGTCCCAGTTATCTGGCTTAAGTGATGACTGGAACTAGATACAAGGCAGCTGGGAGGAGAATTGAGAAATAATAGCTTTTCCATCATCTTGGATGACCTAATTTGTGTGCTTGTTGGCCAAGAGACACTTAATAAATTAAAGAGAAATAGAGGACAAAGTGGTCTACGTGGGCTTGAGGGTACTTTGGAACTTTTCAGTCTCTGTTTTTCCATGAATTGATAAACTGACTTTTCTGTTTCAATTAGCAGTGGGGAAAAAAATGTTATATCTTATATGTTTGAGTGAGTCAGTTACACACGTACATGTGTATACCCACCACTTTTTGGTGGCCATAGAATGTCCCCAGCTTCCTAGGCATCAGAAATATCATGTGCTAGTAGGTGGATGACTCAGAACAACGCTTTTCACTATTGAAAAACCATTGAAGTTGCATGTCATTTTACTCACAAATGAGTAAAGCACACTCTTTGTTTAAAGTGTAAATGAACCTGCCACTAGAACATATATCAGAAGCAATACACCTTACAAGCACTGTAGAAATCCTCTTATTTGAGAGGGAAGAACACTCTTCTTTTTGGACTGGAATAGCATTTGCTTGGTTTTAGAGACAGAGATATCAGAAGGGGACCCCTTGGGGTATCTTAGAAACAACAGGAATTAGGGCCTATTGAGAGTATCTAGGTGGTATCTGCCAAGGGAAAGGGAACACTATGGCATTTGAAAATAAGGTAGTGTCATACATATTGTACTGGTTCTTTTTTCAGTCATCTTTTAGTGATAACCTTTCTGAGGTTATATTATTAGAACAATCACAAATGGTACTTGGCAAAATCTTGTGGAGACAAAATGCTTGTGTAATTGGTTTTGTTTTATCTTTTTTTTTTTCCTTTTTAATATTGTTGATAGGACTTGGTGGCTTAGCAGCCTCCTACTTGAATCCAGTAAAATCCTTTGTGCCACAGATGCCAAAGCTGCTTAAGTCCCTCTTTCCTGTCCGAGATGAGAAAAAGGGCAGACAGCCATCTCCTCTTGCACAGCAGGTAAAAAAATAAATAAATAAAACAAACCCAGAATGTAACAATGAGCATTTCTCTAATGCCTTGTTGGCTGAATTCTGTTTCTGGTGCTTCAGTTAGAGGGATGAGGACGGGTAAGGTTGGGGGAGTTAGAACTGGGCTTTTAGTCACAGTGAAAGCCTGTGATCATTTTCCATCCACTCTCTTCAGAGATAAGAGAGCTGTTTAAACTTATTGATACTTACAATCCTTTTTGCTTTTAAAAAATGCTAAGTGTGCTACTAATGTGATTTATGGTAATATCACTTAGAGCAACAATAGTAGAATTTATGAAGTGCACTTAGTGTTGTTTGCGTATTGCCAAGTGGAAAATGTAATTCTATTTTTAATTCTTGATTTCATTCCTCATATCAAACAACCTGGTCCCACCACAGCTCTTCCCCTCAATCCTTCTGTCGTCCTGTCCCCTCCACCCCACCCCAATTACCTGTCCTTTGATTTCAGCTATTGCCTGTTAGGCACCTGTTTCATTTATTTCTTCTAAAAACCTACCTATCCTAGTTATTCTGACTTCAGTCCAGCCAATCAAGGGATGTATGTGGAAGATTTGGTCTTCTAGGTGAAAAGGCTTTTCTAATCAGTCAGGAAGCTTCTTGTGTCCAAGAGAGGACAACGGGGCCCTGTTAGAAATGCAGTTTCTAACTTTATGTAGGTGTGAACTCAGCAGAAAATGATAAATGAGGATTTATTTATAGTCATTCAAAAAACACATGCAGTGCAAGTTCAGCTGTTGAAATCGTTTCTTTAACACCACCTTCTTCACATTCTCTAAATATTAAGAGTTACAGAATTGCAGGTGAGCTGCCAGTTTAAAGAAAACTTGTTGGTAATTATAATTCATTCTCCAAGGCATCGGGACAGCCTATGGGTTTAGATGTGTTTTTTTAAGCCATCAGGATGTTTCATTTGTAATTCCCCCCCCCCCCTTCAGTATTTCCTACCAAGGGATCTTCTAGCACATTGGATAGAAAAAGTAGACACTCCCCATATTTTAGAGTAGTTGAAAACACACTCTAAACAATACTAAACACAAAGTACTTAAATTGCTTGCTGAATTGAAACCATGTCTTTGGTAATTCAGTGAATATATGGGAGGGGATTTATACACCAGGGGAAAGTGAGAATTCACATTTTCTGTTTTCTCTCTTGCCTAAGTACTTCCTATCTCAACCTTTTCTGTACAGCGTAGCTGCTATTTTTTTTCAAAGTAGAATAATCTCAGTTGAAAGAAAGCCATAGACTCTTTTTTTTTTAAATCATGGAATCTGGATAATAGAGTTTAAATAGTAAACTTAATCTACTTGAACTCTGAGGATGGAACAAGTCAAATCATTTGCTGCCTAGAAGGAATTATCTGTGTTTTCACTACTTTGGCAGTCTATGACCAGATATTCCCTAGACTGTATAAAAAGTATAGGAATTAAAACAGGACTTTGTAATTTGCCCATCCTGTCGCCCAAGGCACAGTTTAAGGACAGACTGTGCTAAAGTGTTTTAAAGAAACTTCATTCACATAGGTAACTATTTGTGAGCCTTTGTTGTTGTTCAGTTTTGTAGTTGTGACCAACTCTTCATGACCCCATTTGGGGTTTTCTTAGCAAAGATACTGGAGTGGTTTGCCATTTCCTCCTCCAGCTCATTTTACAGATGAAGAAACTGGGGCAGATGAGGTCAAGTGACTTGTCCAGGGTCACACAGCTAGTAAGTATCTGAGGCCAGATTTGAACTCAGGAAGATAAATCTTCATTACTCCAGGCCTGGAACTGTATACACTGGGCCACCTAGCTGCCCTTATAAGCCTTGCTTCTTAAGTTTAAACACAACTAAGAAAGTGAAAAAAGAAAATAGCTTTATATTTGACTTCAAGGATGATCAAGGAATTATGTGAAAAACTCATTTTATTAAAGCATCTTTAGTAATAATAATAGAAGAGGGAAATGGTTAAATGTACAATCATTATAAATGTGGATTACATGGGGAAGGTTCTCCTTTACCCATATTATTTAAATATCTTTTGGGGTTTGGATTTGTTTTTTAATTTATTACCTTTTTGTTAATATCAAAAGAATGATAAAAACCAAGCTCGTATTATGTTTGTCCTTGGTTTTCCTTTTGCATTTCTACTTCACCAGTGAAAATTTAGTTCTTTATTTAACTTTAATGTAATTTCCAGTAATAGGAATAAAACAAAATGCAGCCTGCTTCTGGTGTTCTGTGGAACTAGACTACAGCAAACTTCACTAGAGTAGAATTAGATTCACATGGAAATTAGATTTGTTGTCTAAAATCTTGGGGTTTTTTTTTCCTCTATGTGTGTCTCTCTGTCTCTATCTATCTCTTTCTCTCTTTTTTCATAGAATTGTGATGAAGTAGGAGTATATCTCAGGCAAGTCATTACGGCAACCCTTAACCTAACAGACGTAAGTCTAGCTAGCAGGATTACACTATCCTGTTACTGTCTTGAGATAACTTTTTGCTGCCCCACCCTTTAGTAAAAAATGGAGATATTTCCGTTAAGATCCATGTCTTTAGATTCCAGCCTTCATCCTAATTTCTCCACTTTTCTCCTATTTGGTATAGTCCAACACAAGTACAAGCAGTTCGACTTGGCTGAGGAATTATCTAAGAGGTCCTCTTAAGGAATACTTTCTGCAGCATTTTTAACATGTGGTCATGTGTCCTACAATGAAGGAAGATGCATTACTTTTTCTTTCTTTCTTTCTTTCTTTCTTTCTTTCTTTCTTTCTTTCTTTCTTT